TACTTGATGTTTGTGACTAAGGAAGGAGCTAGGGCACCATTTCACTCCTAATTGGAGTTTACGGTCCCTAAATAATTTTCATTTTGGTTTACTACTATAAAACCATAAGGTTTATGGTGTTTGGGGGTTTTCAAGTCCTTAGCTCATCAAGGTAATAGTCTAGGTTAGATTCTAGGCATAAGGAATAAACATGGGACATTTATACACTCTTTGAGGTGTTTACGATTTTAGGAGATCCCCAAACCGTAAAAACATATATAATTGAGTGTTTTCTTGTGCTTTTTATGTGATAAACACTTCAAGGAAGGATCTAGACTTGTTACAAAGGCTTGTGATGGAATAAATCACCCTAAGGCACCTTAACTTGGTGTTTACGGTCCAAGAACTTCTTGAACCGTGAACACTTAGTTCTTGGTGTTCTTGGGTGATCTCCTTGATATTAAGTTGTATAGAAAGCTTTAAAAGACTCTAGGATATAAGTACTTACTATGTGGAAGCTTGAAATGAGATAAAAGTCCAAGAACACTAGTGTGTGTTCTTGGTGCTCTTGGTGAAAAGGAAGAATCAACCTTTTTGGAATGATTTCACGGTTAGAAGTGTTTTAAAACACTAGATCAAAGCATATAATCACTTAAGGAAGCTAGAAACACTTACTAGATTGAAGATCTTGAAAATCTTTTGGATGATACTTGAGAGAGAATGGGTTTTGGATCTTGAGTTTTTGAAAAAATGAAAATAATGACTAGTTCTCATATATATACTCTCAGATTTAGGGTTTTTGTCAGAAAGTATTTTATTCAGGCAGTGAACTCTAATTTCTTAGAGTTTTGGAATAACAATGTTGAACAATAACCCTAGTGCATCCTCTCACCTGATATCTCTAAAGTGTAAAATCCTGAAATACTCAAACTTATTCTAAAAAGGCTGAAAATTGACAGCAACAGTTCTGACTTCTATTGACTTGATATGTTTATACAGAATATAAATTTCGGGTTGTCACACATTTTGACTCGTCAGCCGATTGTTGTAGCTAGCAATGGTGGTGGGATGTCAACCATATAAGTATGTGATCCTGAACTTATACCTGGCGTTCCTCATTCCAATACAAATTAACGGTTATAACACAGGAGAATTTCCCACTAAGACGTACACTCTTAGGATTGTGACAAACATATCTCATGCAACTTAGGAAATGATCATAACTCATATAGCTTTTATAACAAATGTAACTTATATAAAACATCTCGTTTATATCATAAATCGTAACAATGAGTCTAGACATCCTAATCCAAAACTCTCAATTATAAGTATATCGGACACCTATAATTATTTGGTGTTTAGGATTAATTATTGATTGAAGTCTTATGGTATTTGAGATTCAAAAGACTTAACACATTTCCATATTTTATTATTTATCGTGATGAATTTTGGACAGCATAACGGCTGTTCTAATAATATTTTCTAGGTTTCAACCAATATCAAACCAACATTTTCATAGTATTTATAATTCACGTGATTAACACAATGTAGTATGTCGCATATAACGACTATTAAGTTCTGAACTTGATCATATTATTTAATACAACAAAATCCATAACTTATTAGAACGAGTTATATTTTTATATTTAATATAAAAATATATTAATAAATTTTACATTTGTTTTTACATAACTTATATATATATATATATATATATATATATATATATATATATATATATATATATATATATATATTAAAAGTTACTTTTCAGTAATTTAAACTACTAATATTATATTTTCATAATCTTGGTTTTTCCATCAATTTAACGATGTATGTTCGTTTTATACTCGAATAGCCTTTTTGATTTTATAATATCTTAATATACATGTTAATAATCACAAGAAACTATAAGTATATTAACTTTTAGGAATCTACTTTACATGTATAGTTTATAAATGATTTATAACATTTTAGATTGTTATTTAATAAGTTTTTTGACCAATAGCTATTTTAAAATATAACAATTTGTAAATCATCAAAACTTAATTAGACATGCATGTATTCTCCCCAAATTTTAAAGCGGTAAAAGAGAGGTCGTCGAAACTAACATTCGTAGCATGAACGAGAGTTGTGGTGTGAAACTTGTTGTGAAAATTTCTACGTGACGTTCCTTGCTCCTAAGACGAACCACCGGTTATATTTAAATTACCCAATAAAATCAAAATGGTAGTTTTGGTATTATTTATTAAGTGTAGGGTGGTCTTTGTGAACACAAGTAATTTCTAGGGATTGATTTTCAAAAAATCATACAATGAGGGACTGATCTCGTATTTTATTTCGAAATTAGGGGGTTGAAATGCACATTTTTAATCCTAATTTGGAGTTTTTGGACCAAACTTGTTAAGGTTTCCGAAGGGAGGGGCTGTTCTTGATTATGTTAAATGGCAGTTTTAATTAAATTCATTTAACTTTAATAGAAATTAGGGTTTTTTCGTTCATTTGCGTCTCGTGACCGATCCAGCAACAGAAACGAGGAAGCAGGGGGAAAGAGGAACCAATCGACGGCGACTCTTCGTGGTTCTCTCCCGTCGTCGGTCGCAAAGAGAACCAATGGCGAAGCGATGACCGAAGGTGGCGACAGGGAAGCTCGCATTGCGTTGTCCGCTATTCCGGATGTCGTGACCAATCGCGATCGTCTCCAGGGCTCGGAGAGGCTGAAGAGACGGAGGGAAAAAGGGAGGTTGTCGTCTCTGGGGTCGGCGAGGCCGAAGCGATGAAGACGTGAAGAGCAGCGAAGTTTCGCTCGTCCCCTTCAGTTGTGAGGTGCGAAGGAGGAAGGGAGGCAACGAGGCTCCAGTGACCTCGGTAGGTGCAACGATGGAGTGAGACGCGAGGTAAGCTGATTCAATGGGGAAAGATGAAGGCAGCCGAGAATTGAAGTGGTGATTCTTCAACAGGAAATGAAGGGAATTAACAGGTATCGATTTTTTTTTTTTTTACAGAAATCAATAGATTTAAACAATGGTTTTAGGTGTGTGTGTTTGTTTGATGTTTAACAGAATTCAAAGGAGGAACAAAATGGATATTTGGGTATGATTTTTCACAGGATTAGAGTAGGGCTGTTGCTGTTTTGACAAGAGAAACATGAAAACGGAGGAGAAAAGGGTGTTTTTGGCTGGTATGATCGACGGAAGATGGAGTGAATACGAAGGAAAACGTATGACTGTAGAAATGTATAAAAATCTTATTTTAAAATGAACTAGGTGGGTAAACCCCGCGTTGCGGCGGTCGGATGTGATGATTTTTTCTGTTGTTTGTTCTTTGTAAATGTTATTTGATCAACAGATGTGATTTTTTTTTCGATTTATTCTTTGCAAATATTCTTTCATGAACAATTTATTTATACTCTGAACACGACATTAGGTTAAAGAGGGTGTGTAAAAAATTCCTCAAAATTTGATGCACATCAGTTGTGTGTGGAAAATTGAGGAGATCCGAAAGTGGAAAATGAAATTATAAGAAGATTATCAACATAACTAAATGAATTTGTTCTATTATAAATCATCAAGTGTAACAAATTGATTCCAATGGAATGCAACATTCCATTCTTCTAATAACTTTGAAAAAGTACATTGCCTACATTTGTATAGGTTACACCATGTTCATTTAGATTAAGTAAAGATTTTAATGCGTATGTTGTCTATATACAGTATATTATCTATCGATTCTGTCCAGTATTTTTCAGATTTGACCAACAATTTTTTTTTTTGAACCAGCAAATACAAATATATAATCTACACCTAAACTAACACCTAATTCTACCTATGTCCACGATGAGACTTGAACCCTCGACCTCAAGGAGGGAGGGCACCACCTGATTTGACCAGCAATTTAAAGACACAAAATCATCCAATTGATTTCATTTGTTGGTTTTTAATACATTTTTTGGGGTCAAAACCGGCCCTTATGGATCTGTGATTACAATAAGAAATGGTTAGCATTTAAGATGTATGAGAACATAGTAAAATTTGTTGACCACAAAAATCCAAAAAACTTATAAAAAGAAATAAAATACTTCAAAACGACAAAAGCACAAGGAACAGAAGACATAAAAAATCAAATATGAAAATAGAAAGTAATACAATTTGTTCTCATGTTCAGCCCAATACACTTGACATTGAATATGCTTAGCAATTTTGCAACCATCAACCAATAAGTAAAAAATAAAATTATATGAAAACTTAATTGTTCAAACCTTCATCAAAACATGATCTTTTTTTTACATAAAGTCAATAATTTGGTCATATCATTTGTCAAATACGCAAGTAAACCAAAACTCATTAAATGAAAGCACATCTTATTCTTACAAAAAGACAAAGATCCTTATCTCAAATCTAGATTTTGTTTTTTTCTTCTGCATACCTGAAAAAACTTATATAAAAAATTGTCTCTTCAGATCCCAACCATTCTTCTTCCCTGTTTTAGGTTAATATGATTATTCACAAAAACTCGAACCAAATATTTTTAATTGTTGGAAAATGAGTTACATTTCCAAGATTAAGAACCTTTTCCCAAGCTCCTATATGTTATATATCTCAAATCTTAGATAAACGAAATCAAATGCTTAAAGCACTTTGTGAAATCTGTTCAAGAATAGTTGCTAGTATGCAGGGGAAAGATGACTTTTTGAACAAAACTAAGTCCCAAATAACAACCGAGCTAACAAAGTAAACAAATTTCACAATACCTAAGGAAAATAAATAAATAAATATAGAAAAGGTACAACTTTACCTGTCATAAGCTGCAATGTTGATATCCAGACCATTAACAAACAACTACTTTCTGACAAAAAAAAAAGCAGACATTTTTTTTAAGTTAATAAAGTTACTGAAAGCTTTCATGGTCTGAAACTCCTAAATAATGAAGTTCAAGGATTACCTAAACAGAGGCAACATAACATCCACGATGTAGTATGTTGGACCTTTTTAACCCAACTTACTTTCTTTTGGTGTAGAATTCGATCTAGTAGCGACATTTATAATTTCCAATGGTGTCATCATCTGTATCACAATCATCTAAAAAGATTCGGTAGATGTTGATTTTTAAGCATCTAAAATACATAATTCTTCGTACATCAGTACATGTATCCTAAATGATGAAGTTATAAACCTAGATTCTTCAGAATCAATATATTTTGATGATATGAAATCATAAATAATGAAGTTATAAACCTTGATTATTCAGTATAAACCGAATTTCAGTATCTTCGATCTTGTATCCTTGTAATTGCCATTGCCTCTGCAAAGATCGACACACACAAACAGTCTTTCGGTAACCTTGTACAACCACACTTTGCAAGATTTAATCAAAATCAACTCCATATTTAGAAGCAAAAGATGATTCGATTCCATTTGGAAACAAAATAATATCAATAAAGTTCAAAAGATAAAGTGTTTCTTATTCAAAAGTTTTTTTTTGGTTTTTTTTTGTTTTTTTTTTGTAGTTTTCATCAAAAAAAATTATATGTAATCATGTATGTTGACAAATAACATTTTACTTGAACGATATGAGAATAATTAACAAATGAGACCCACAAAAGTAAAAAAAAAAAAAAAAGTATAAAAAACAATAATTTTAATAGATAAGTTCCATACAACTCATGTAAATTAAAAAAAAATCTAAACACATATTTCATATTTTATTCAAAACATGCTGGTGGTATGTATGTATACTTAATTCAAGTTAACTCTTTTGTGTACAATTCAGTGTTTCACATACAACTCATGCAAATTTCAACTCATCACATTGTTCATGTCATACGACCTTTTTTCAACATTGAATTTCATCAAATCATCAATAAACAACTACAAAACTACTTACACAAGAAGAAAATCTATGATTACTTAGTGAAAAAAAAGAGCAGAAGATATCAGAATGACCTGAAACTGAGACATTTGTTAACTTTTGTAAGAAGATTAAGCCATAATCCAGCAAAAGAAAAAAGCCCTAACCTTCAACTTTGATTTGGCGTCGACAATCGGTTTTAGAATCTTGATAGGAAGCAAAAAATCGAAGAGAAAGCACTGAATCACGTTTACAGCAACTGATAAAATTAAGCTAACAATTAAAATCACATCATAAACCCAAAACTAAACCCTAACTTTTGAAATTGAGGAAACAAAGAGGAAAGAAGGAGCACAGATACCTAGCTGGTAAATGTTTGATGAACTCAAAATCGAGCCCTAATAGGGATTGTGACAGAAGACCTTCACAATGGGCAGTTGAGAGAGGAGACGAAAACGAAGGGTTGTGAGCACGTCGAAGAGGGTGGTCGGCGTTACCTGATTAAATGCTTATTGAGCCCAAAATTATAAAATGTCAAAAGCAATGACGAAAGAAGAGGTAGCGATACCTGATTAAATGGTTGTTGAACCCAAAATCATCTGTCTCACATTTCAGACAGCAATCGAACAACCAACATGAACACTGATTTTTTTTTTGTGTTGCCCGATGATGAAATCGAAGCCGAAGAAACAGCCGTCGACAAGAGCAAAGGTAGAGAACATGGAAGAAAATCTTATGCTCATCTGAAATTTCGAATAAATCAAACAGAGCAATCGAACAACCAACATGAACGCTGCTTTTTTTGTGTTTCCTGATGATGAAATTGAAGCCGAAGAAACATCCGTCGGCAAGAGCAAAGGTAGAGCAAATATTTACATCCGAAGAAAACCTGATGCTCATCTGAAATTTCAAAGAAATCAAATGGGATAGGGATAAGGACGCGGTGGAAAGGATCCGAAAGCGGATAAACCAAACGATCATCAACACGTGTATAAAGAATGTAAATATTTGCATAAAATACCCAGATAAAAAAAACGGAAACAACACATTCTTGGGCCATTTTTGCCAAAAAAAATCCACCAGTTCACTATTCCTAAAAAGTGGCCTCCTTTAATATATATATATATATATATATATATATATATATATATATATATATATATATATATATATATATATATATATATATAAGAATTTGCTGTACAAGATTGGATTTATAAAGATATTTGTTGTAAAATCAACTTTTTTGTATTTTATTTATTTATTTATTTATTTTTTGTGATGCACATCCCTGATTCTTGATTCTCGTGGCATCGATTTACGAGGCTTATGGTTGTTTTGTGCCATCGATTTACGAGGCTTATAGTTGTTTCCAACAAAGCAGTGCATAGTTTAATTTTAAAAAATTAGATAAATATTGATTTTTTTTAAATTTAAAAAGATATAACTTTCTCATATGACATCCGTTTTTGGTGTTTTTTAAATCTATGAAATTAGGAGAACAATGTATATTCAAATTTATTATCCGTAGCTCTTGAATATACTTAATGCAAAATTAAATTTTTAACATCACAAATATGATTTAATTTTTAGTCATTTATTTATTCAATCTTTGACGATAGATGGTTTAAACAGTTTGGGATGTTTTGAAAGAAATTATGAAAAAATATATTTAATATACATTATAAAGGTAAAAACACACAATTGGTCATTAATATTTAGCGGTTCGCGGTGGTTTGACACCAGACTTTAACCAATTTTTACCAGTTGTTATAGTATCGTAGTAGCTTGAACTCATAATCAGGAGGATATCATAACCCAATATTGAGTGCATGCTTTAAGTACCCAAAGATCATTTTTGCAACAAGAATATCAAATTCCTTAGGGTGACATTTCAACAAGTTCATATTTTTAATCCACTTATCATTACGAGTCATGATATTGTCAGCGTGAACAGAGGTCTTTTCAAAGTGCACTTGCTGACTTTGTGAGAGGCATCACCACATCGATAACAAACTTTTATTCTAAAATTCTTTCCTTTAACAATAGATTTAGATTTGTTTTCAACTTTTGAACTAAGGAACTTTTACAATTTGAATTATGAGTTCTTGTTTTAGTTATGGAACAAGTAATGTCATTGATGGTATGCTCCGTTGATACCTTGTCATGAGTCTCATGAATCGTTGAGTCATCAAAAGTAGAGGAATTTGATTGATATTCAGGTTTAGAATTGCTAACGGAGCACTAAGAAAAAATACTAATAATTCCATTTACTGAATAAACTTTACCATTGCATATAGGAAAGTTTAGCAAAATGTTACTGGAAGGAAAAACATACTCACGGTAAGAAGATTAATTAGAAGGATCAAGATTAGATAATTAAGTGTAACACCCCCTTCTGGCACGTATCACAATATTGTCCGCTTTGGGCCACTCGACACGAGGACTTACCAGGGGGTCACCCATCTTGGTACTACTCCCGCCCGAGCACGCTTAACTGCAGAGTTCTTATGGGATCTGCTGCCCTCACGGCTTTAAAACGCGTTGTGTTAGGGAAGGTATCCACACCCCTTATAAGGAATGCTTAGTTCTCCTTCCCAGCCGATGTGGGATCAGATCTAACCCACTTTCACCCCCCATTATAGGGTTCGACGTCCCGGTCGAACACATCGACCCGTGCCCTAGCTTTGATACCATTTCTCGATTTGTGCATGTCATCCTTGCGCAGGGGCCATGCTAATCTTCTCTGTATGGTTTGGGTTAAAGTGGGTTAGATCTGATCCCACATCGGCTGGGAAGGAGAACTAAACATTCTTATAAGGGGTGTGGATACCTTCCCTAACACAACGCGTTTTAAAGCCGTGAAGGCAGCAGATCCCATAAGAACTCTGTAGTTAAGCGTGCTCGGGCGGGAGTAGTAGCAGGATGGGTAACCCCCTGGGAAGTCCTCATGCCGAGTGGCCCAAAGCGGACAATATTGTGATACGTCCAGAGGGGGATGTTACAAGTTGGTATCAGAGCCCTGGTTTGAGGGATTCGGACTCACCTTCGGGGGTGTCTGAACTCAAATCGAGGGATTAAAAGATTTTTTTAAGAGGGTGTTTTCTAAATGGAGAAAAGAGTTTAAGAAAGAACAAAAGTGTGTGTGATGTGCGCGACCGGCCGAGCTCAAGTAAGTATTCCCCAAAGTACCCATACAAGTTTATGATTACGTTTATCAGCTTTTGTAGAACAGCATGCTAGAATAGGACTAAGGATCTAGGAATGATGCCTTATGTGCCTGCCTTATGTGTTCCACCTATATGAGAATTGCATGCTAGAATAGAGTAGACAGCAGTAGGGTAGCCTGTTAGGGTGTGCCTGGTAGTATGAGTTAGCACGGTGTGCTAGTCCAGTTTCTCTCTATGAGAGCGGAATTGCTTGACATTGTTTCCCTCGTCTGAATGTTGCTTGCTTCGTGCTACGTGGGACTCCGAATAATGGGAATTAATCATTAGGAAAATACATCACATCACATGTGATCAGAGTTGAATAATCTTAGAGTACCGGATTTGATCCTACTGCGCAACTCTTGTTTGAGTCCAACCGTTTTAGGGACGAGTCGGGTACTCGAAGGATTATCTGAGTCTCGCCGCATGTGATGGTATTCGGGTGATGGCTAATTGGCATTACGAGGAGGCCTGCAGCAGCTGAGGACTGGATCGAGTAGAGCCGGAGATTTCCCTAGGGCGAGCCTGGGATGAGTATAGTAGTAACCAGCCTTAGCGTAAGTGACCTGGTGGAGTCGAGGCAGTTCTTGAAGAAGGTACGGATAGATGTGGAAGGTAGTATGGGCCCGTACTATTGAAAGCAGAGGATCCGTACCCGAACCAAGGAAGGCCAAGACAAGACCAGGGAACTTGTAAGTAGCTGTGATCCCTCAGGAAGCATCAGTATATCTAATGATTGTTGTGATGTATTGCAGAATGGTGGTACTTCAATCGAGGCCGGTGGATGGCGGTTCTAGAGAGGGATCAGGTTCCGAGCCGGTAGATGAGGGGCTACGTGAGTTCATTGCGTCAGAGATCACCAGGGGTATCCTTGAGTCGACTCCCATTATCTTCGGGTCGATCAAGGAAGGGATCATGGAGTTGATGGAGGATCGCCTGCAGGCATTCAGGAGTGATTTGGCCTCTAGCCAGTCGGGGTCACGCACATTGTCCTTCAAGGACTTCAGGGGCAGTGGTGTGCCGGATTTCCATGGGGTAAAGGACCCCATTGCTGCCAGGCGATGGATTGTAGACATCGAGTCTGCACAGTTGACTAGCTTCTGCCCCGAGGGGTCGAAGGTGAGATATGCAGCGGGGTGTTTACGGGACCGAGCCCGGGATTGGTAGGAGTCAGTGGGTGACTCGTTGGGAGCCTCAACTATCGAGACTATGACCTGGTCGGACTTTGTGACCAGGTTCAGGGCAGAGTTTGCACCGGCTGTCGAGCTTCAGCAGCTGGCCAGGGAGTTTTTGGATATGAGGCAAACGACGGAGACTGTGGCGGAGATCACCGCCAAGTTCTGGGAGAGGGCTTTGTTGGTACCCCAGTATGCTGGTGATGAGGATATGAGGAGGACTCATTATCACGATATGCTTCGAGCTGACATCCGGGAGCATGTTAGTTTTTAAGCTTGCCCCACCTTAGACTCTATGATTGCCAGGGCGACGGAGAGGGAGATAGATTTGGAGCATGTCCGGAAACGGAAATTAGAGGAGGGACAGATAGGAGGGGCTTCGGGAAAGAAGCCCAAGGGATCAGATATGGGGCCGAAAGGCCAACAGGGATGGGGACGCTGCTGGAAATGCGGCAAGGCACAGGAGGGGGCGTGCAGGATGGGATCATCAGGCTACTACAAGTGCGGCAAGTTTGGGCACATCAGCAGGGATTGCACTGCTCCTGCAGCAGTTATTCAGACATCGGAGTCGCTGTGTTTCCACTGCAACCAGAGGGGCCACAAGAAGGCCAATTGCCCCCAGTTGACAGTTTCAGCACCGGTGAAGGCACCAGCTCCAGTGACCCTGCGGATCGAGGATGGCCGACAGGGCAAGGCAGAGGCTCCGGTAGTGAGGAGCCGAGCATTCCAGCTGACTACCGAGGAGGCACGCGCCACACCCAATGTGGTGATGGGTATGATTCTTTCCTTCTATCTTTTGTTTTATGATCTTATGATATTGATATGTGCTCCGTGTGTATATATATATATATGCATTAGGATCGTTCCATGTGAACGGCATCCTAGTTCAGGTATTGTTCGACTCGGGCGCATCCCGATCGTTCTTTTCTCTTGCGCTTAACAAGAGGTTTCGTGAGACTTCAGGCGAGTTAGATTGCCCTTTAGAGGTAGAGATTGCTGATGATCGATCGGTGCGAGCATCGATGGTGTTTCGAGATTGCGTTCTACGACTGTTTGAGGAGCGTTACCTGGTGGACTTGGTTCCCATTCCATTGCGTGGGAACAAGGTGATTATTGGCATGGATTGGTTGAGCCCTAATGGGGCGGTGATAGACTGTGCACAGCATCTAGTGCGAGTCAACACCCCAAGCGGGGGGGAGTTAGTGATTCATGGCGAAAGGCCGCAGTGTGGACCCACTATATGTTCAGCAGCGAGGGCTAGGCGCTATCTTCAGCAGGGATGCACAAGATATGTCGCGTATGTGATGGATACCCGGGAGGCGGGTAAGGCGACAGTGAGCGAGGTTCCGGTGGTTCGAGATTTTGCAGATGTTTTCTCGGAGGAGCTACCTGGGATACCTCCGGAGCGACAGGTGGAGTTCAGGATTGACCTAATCCCTGGTGCGGCTCCGATAGCCAAAGCACCGTATCGGTTGGCTCCTCCCGAGATGCAGGAGTTGTCTATGCAGCTGCAGGAGCTGCTAGACAAGGGATTCATTCGTCCGAGCAGTTCGCCTTGGGGAGCCCCGATTCTATTTGTGAAGAAGAAGGATGGGTCGCATCGGATGTGTATAGATTACCGGGAGTTGAACAAGGTGACGGTGAAGAACCATTACCCACTCCCGAGGATTGATGAC